TGATAAGTGACCTTGCAAGAGTTGGATACAGCCTGAACCCTCTCTTTGTGACCTTGTCTGGTGGCCAAGTGCATTACCAGGGCTGGCCTTACCATGAGGCGAACTGAGGCGGCCGCCTCAGGGGCCAGACTGCGGGGCAGGGTGCCACTAGGCCCCAGAGTGTAGAAAATTGTGTCTGCTGCTGGTTAGTTCTCCTTTATTGGGGTAGGTAGCAGAGCAGGACCACGAAAGGAGTAGAACAGAAGCAGGCAGAATTGAGACCTTTCAAAGCTCTGGCCCAAGCGAGGGGGTTAGAGGGTGTCCTTTGAGCTCCCCGCCTCAGGAGCCAAAATGTTGTGGGCCAGCCCTGGGCATTATCCAGCAAGGAGCAGGGACAGATGAAAACGGCTTGCAAGGAGCAGCCCATCACATTACTCTCTGCTGCAGGAGGATGCTTCTGGTGGGGATTATGGGGGATCCAAAGCTAGAAAGCTTTCTCTATTGCTGCGGCCTCTCTCACCTGCCCTAATACTCCTCTTATTTCCCTTCTCCAGGTGGGAAACACTGCTCTAAATTCACTCTTTCTTCTTTTCAAATCATTCCTAGAGAAGGCCTCATAACTGAATGACCAATGTTTGTTCTCACTACTTCTTCCCCAAATCCACTCATTTAAACCAAGACTGATTCCCATCTTAAGCCAACCTGTAGATTCCATAGTATGCCTAGCATTGTATAGCATGCCCAGTGAATTATCCATTGACTTAATTAACTGATTGGTCGTTCTGCCCTCGGGATCCAGCAATGAACTGTAGCAATGGGAAGAATCAACTACTTGCCAGCTCTCCTGAAGAGCATGGCTAAGAAATTCACTCAGGCCCGAGCCTGACAGGGCATGGCTACTTTTGTTGAATTTTTTCCTGTGTCTTCTCCCCCAAATAAGGGGCACCACCTTACTGAGCAATATACTAATTATATCCCATGTTGAAATGTTTGCACTAGCTTCGCGTTGTACCTGCAAGCTATGAAAAATATTTTTAGAGTGAAAATGACAAGAATGAGACCCAGGTGGAAGAAATCAATGTGAGACCCACCATGGTACGTGGCCACACAAAAACATGAAAGTGTTACTGGAGGAAAATCACACACACACACAGAGTGCTTCCACTGTTCAGGATCAGACACAGTTATACAGAGCAACAAAGCAAGCTATTACTGTAACAACCATTTCCTCTTCTTCTATGTTGCCTGTTCTTTCCTATATAGGGCAACAGTTATAGCAAGAAAGTCAATTAAAAAGGCATCATACCTTATAGACTTGTCCATATGTCCCATTTCCAACTACTTGAACCAGTTCAAATATCCCTGCTGGGTCCTGTAAAAAGTACAGTAAATACTGTTATTCATTGAAAAGTGAGTAACCGCTTTGCCTTGGGAACACTATTGTTCAAACAGTATGCAAACACCCAACACATTTTCTCATAACAATTTATATCATAAATAGAGAATAATAAAGCTAAATAGTAATAAAATCAGCATTAAAAATAAAATAGGATGGATTTCTATTACAACTTTCAGCCATGCCTCTCAAAACAATTTATAAATATTAGTCAATGAAAGATCAAATACATGCACAGCCCAGATAAAGGCAGATGGGTAAACTGAAGTACACGGCAGTTACATGGTTTGCCCAAGGTTTCATGACAATTTAGTAGCAGACGCAGGAATGGAACCTACAAGTCTCATGTATCAGTTCTAACCATGGAGCCCAGCTAGAGGATAAATGTGGACAGCTCTCTTCTGCTCTGAAAGATTCAGGTTAGTGGTCTACAGAAAGAACAAACCAAAGTTACGAAATATTAAGAAAGTGTCTTATGACTCATTTGTGTGTGATTTAGCTGTAGCCTTACCAAAACCATCATAACATCGAGGCTACAATTAAAATGCAGAGTCTCATTTCGCAAGGTGGACTGAAGACCCAGGGAATAAAAAGCTTTTTGCCCACGTGCTGTGGCTTAGAATCCAGATTAGTACAATTCCTACTCGTTCAGCATACACTATATTAACACCCCCCCCTTTGCCGCAAAGATGATGCGGAGATTCATCTTGAATCATTTCTCAAGTAGCCAGAGGACTCTGAAGAAGAATATGGATAAATAAACATGTACTCCTACAACTCAGCATATTAAGAAATCTGTTTCAGTTAAAACTTACTTGAGATATTTATATAAAACTATTCAGAACTCAAGAGACCAGTTTCTTGGTAGCTGGATGAGTAATTTATCACTCTAGCTCATTTCTTTGGAGAACACCATTGAGAAGTTTACGTGTAATATTATTAATACTGTGAATCTGTTTTTCACCACCTCTTTTAGCTAGCTATCATGTCAGTTGATATCTCTTGGTACCAATGTGCTATAGAGTCACATCATTTTCTCAGAAGTCCAGATTCTGTGATGCCAGCTCCAAAAGACCATTTTTTAGTATAGAAAAAATGTTTATCTGATTGAAGATTATTTCTCAAGTAAATCCTAGGATTTTTTTGCATGGAAACTATCCACCTAAGGATTGATCCAGCTGAGCTCACTTTGCTTGAGCAAATCCCCCTTGCAATAAACAGGAGTTTATATACATAAATGAAATAGAGCCAGGTTTTTTGCCAGCAAAGTGTCTTGATAAGTATGCAATAGATTTCACCATGAGAACAATGTAACAGACTTCTACAACTGTGGTACTGTGTGGATATTCTAGAGCCAAATAGCTCTGACAGCAGCTAAGCACAAGTCCTCCTTATAGCCATGAAGATCTATTTTTATCTTGCTTGGATTCTTCACTGTGTTCCCTGACAGTAAATCGGAATGCACTTATCTTCAGCTCTTTGTAGTTAGATGGTTTTTAATCATGTCCTTCCCAGATCTTCAAATGCCTGTGGATTTGCTTTATTTAACTAACAAGATGAAACCAGCTCAGACAGACTTTACATTTATGCACATGCTCAGGTAAAAGGCACAATGAAATATATTAAAAATAGGAGAGAAATTACACCTAAGAGGCTAGGGACACTTTGGATTTGTCTACACTTGCACCCTAGTTCGAACTAGGGATGCAAATGCAGGCATTCGAAATTGCTAATGAAGTGGGGATTTAAATATCCTGAGCTTCATTAGCATGATCTCACTGGTACGCTAGATTGAATCACAGCTCCTCAAAAAAAATGAAGAGTAATGTTAGTTCGAACCAAGGGGGTTGGTTCAAACTAACGCGTCCCGGCACGTCCTGGTTCGAATCAGCTGTGATTCAAACTAACATGTGTAATGTTAGTTCGAACCAAGGGGGTTGGTTCAAACTAACGCGTCCCGGCACGTCCTGGTTCGAATCAGCTGTGATTCTAACTAACATTTCGGCAAGATCATGCTAATAAAGCGTGGGATATTTAAATCCCCACTTCATTAGTAATTTCGAATGCCTGCATTTGCATCCCTAGTTCGAACTAGGGTGCAAGTGTAGACATACCCTTTGAGTTTACCTTTTCTCGATTTTCAATATTGATCCTGCAAATTGCTTTTGCAGGAGTGAGGCTCTTGTAAAATGCTTCATTTCTACTGGTATGGGATTTAATCAGCTATGCTCTCTCTTTCAACTATGACAGAACCAGCAATAAGCCTATTGCTGCTAGGAGATCTAAAACATGATTTTAGGTGGACATTATAAAACCTCATTGGCTGGTGTCAGGATCCCAAGAAGCACAGTCAGGACTAAGGAACCACAGCAGAGGTTAGCCTGAGAGTGTGAACAGCAAACGAGTTCACAGTCAGGTTCCAGTCCAGGGTTAAAACCTAGGATCAACAGAACCAGCAATAAGCCTATTGCTGCTAGGAGATCTAAAACATGATTTTAGGTGGACATTATAAAACCTCATTGGCTGGTGTCAGGATCCCAAGAAGCACAGTCAGGACTAAGGAACCACAGCAGAGGTTAGCCTGAGAGTGTGAACAGCAAACGAGTTCACAGTCAGGTTCCAGTCCAGGGTTAAAACCTAGGATCAATCGAAGTCAGGTTTCAAGATCCAAATCAGAATGTGAAATCTAAATTAAGCCAAGGTCAAAGTCAGGAGCAAGGAGCAGGAAT